TTGGGCTCTATTGTAATTTAACTTCTCTAAAATATTTTCATTACAGCAGAATAGTCACAAAAATAAAAACAATTTCATCAACCTGTGAAGCATCATCAAATGAGCTAAAAGCAATCTCAGGGCGGAGTTCATGCTGGTCAATACTTGAGACTCTTAATCAAAATAAAACGCCTCCAGAGTTTATAATCATATATCCAAATTAGGAGAACATTAATTCGTGAACTATTCACGTGAGCTCCCTCTATCGAAGAAAAGACGTATAAACTCTCTCCAGCATTTCAGATTCCTACACATGACAACATTAGTGAGATTACGAAGAGTCTTTGTAAACATTTCATTCGAAAACAACAAAGTTCTGTCTGTAATGTGTAAGAATGGTCCCACGCTTAATCGCTTCAGATCACACCCAGGCGGTCAAAATGATAGGTAGTTTCAATACTCGCCCATCATTCATTCATTGTCAATACTGAGACTCTTCATCTGAAAATCGAAATATTTCAAATGGGACTTTCACGGAGCTGTCTACATAAAAGTTTCCAAAGAGAATGCACGTATCACTTTCGAGAGTGAATATTAAGTGCGCTTCGAAAAATCACCGAAAAAGTTGAATGATAATAAGATACAATTTTTTCATTATCAATATGAAGATACATTGACTAACATGAATGATTCGTGAGTCTTAAAACTAGCTATCTTTTCGCCCACCTGGGTGTGATCTGTGGCGATTAGGCAAGGGATTAGTACTCTTTTATTAATTACTTTCAATGTTATGTTTTTCTATGTTCGAAAAAATTTCAACTTTCCTTTATTTGTTCTTAGAAATTTTAGTGAAATTTTAGTTGTATAATTATTTGTATTTTCTTTTCATATTCTTAATTGGTATACCTGATTCAAGAAATTGAACTTCTGTGTTCATTTTCAGGTATACGATTCTTTCTTTCGTTAAACATCAGTTGTATTCTATGGTTATCATTCCAGTTTAGTCATAGACCATACCTGGTATGCTCTGTGAGAGTAGCTTCAATTACTTACTTTAAGTACTACTTCTTTTGATAAAGAAGTAGTACTTCGAAACGTTGTCATGCGCATTTGTATTAAATTATGAGAAAATTCTTAATATTGTTTCATTATGGATCTTAATTTTCTCTAAGTATCGGCGTCATCAATCATCAATTCGAAATATATACTCATCAAAATTCATTCTCATACTTCCCTTCAGTAGGTACGTATTATTTTAATTGTCACTTATATTTTCAGAAAGCGTTAGAAAAATGTACTTCGATGAGTGAACGTTTAGATGTATTCCTGAAAGCGATGGAGCAGGTGGAACAATTATCGCAAGAAAACAAGCGTATATTAGCGATCGCAATATACACTCGTATCAAAGACTCTCTTTTTTATAAGGCCAATTATGGGGCAATTATGGCCACAACGAGATTATTCAAACCTTCTATTTCACTAGATCAACTAACTTTGCCGGAAGACTACAATTTATCCAGGATATGTTCCAATTTGGAGGATATTCGATACTTCGAAGGAAATCATCAAAGCATCATGGAGAATGAAGAAGTGGCCGATGCCATCAATGTTGCTATACGTGGCAAAACATCTCAATTTATTGTAACTGTAAAGAATTCGAAATAAAACTTTGCTTCTGATGCTGATATATTTCATTTTCAACTGACCTCCTTCAATGTTTAGTCCGAAATAGATCTTTTTTTTCAAGTAATGCTATTCAGATCTCACTAGTGTTTCAAAATAACCTATAATTGAGCTTGATGAGCATTGACAGAATGAAATTTTATCATTGACTTACAACCCTGAAACTTATAGTAATAGAGATGAGTAAAATTTCCAAGCAGGTATTTGAGGCACCTTGAAATTCATCAATCTTTGGAACTGAATCGTGCAAAAAAAACTGAATAAATTAAGGTGTTTTTGAAAACCAAAAAGTTCGAAAAATATAGAAGCCAGATCAATTGAGTTGGCTGAATATCTAACCAGAGTCAATATTATTTTCTAGATTACTTCTAGATATACTTCTAGATTCATTCATAATATTGCTTGTCATTGAAAACTGATAATTGAAGCATTTAATTTTCAATGATATTTCCTGCCTGGCAGGTCACTAAGAATATTGTGCATAAAATTGAGTGCAGAGTTCGTTTGTGAATTGGCTCTTGCCTGAGCACAAGAACGAAAAAGCATATTTCCGTTAGATTTCAGGACCTTTTTTAATGTGTGCACTCATTGAATGTGTCAATTAGCTTAATTGTATTAAAATAAGTTTTAGGTCTGACCAGTGCAAATGTTTCATTTTGCTCTCGTGTATATTTGTGTAAACAGCTCCTTGAGAGCTTTTCGAAATATTTTGATATTTCTATCGAAAATCTGAGAATGATGAAACAACTAAGGGTTCATGAATCTCGAATTCAATTATGATATTGGCTCTAAGGTGTGAACCGTAGCGATAAGTGTTTGAAAGTAATATTTACGGAGACTGCCATTTATCTATGGAAGTACGCAATAATCTTGTCGCGAGAATGTGCTCTGCAATGCTCGGGAGAAACCATCTCTTTTTTCGATAGAGAAAGTTAACTTGACTAGTTGACTAATAGATGAACCTCTCATTTTGAAGACATTGGACCTTGGTGCATTTGGAAACAATATCGAAACTTGATCGTTTGGTAGCATGCAACTGATGATTCACAGAACAGTTTGCAGCACTCCTGTGAGGTATTTCCAACAAGTTCAATGCATTACGAAACGCGCTAAATATTCACTCTCGAAAAAGATAGCCTGTATTATCGTGAACAAGATTTACATAGAAAATTCTCTCAGAATTTGATTTGAAATATTCAGGAGAAGATTCACGAATCCTTCACACTTAGTCAAAATTAAATTCAACTTAATTATTACTCTTAACAATTGTCGGATTAGGCGAATACATCTAGATCAGTGTTTCCTACCGTGGGGGCCACGCCCCACAGGGGGCAATTTGATTTTTAAGGAGGGCAATTCGAGAATGGATTCGAAACGAGTTCAACCCTTTCGCACTTTTCAATTTTAATTCGTCAGATTATCAAATGATAGTTATTTTCAGGTTCATTTAACAAACCCTCAGAAGATCTAACCCGCTCGATTAATTTTTTTGCTATTCTCAACCCTTACATACGAACATCTGCCTCAAGCAGACTGTCGAATTAACACATGTGCATTATTGAAAATATGCAAAGGTTTTTCTCCACATTTTCAAAAATTTATAGTCACGCCCCCCGCCGATGAAGAGGAACATACAGGAGGGCTTCATTAATCCGGAGAGGCAAAAACAAGACCTTTTTCTGATTATCGAGGCGTCTGGATTATAGTATGCCATATTTAATGTTAATAAAACTGATAAGACACGAGTTTAACCTTAGTGTCTTCAATAAATTTTTAAATTATAGCATAAAGACAAAATGTTCATCTTCAAAATTACAACTATAAGAGAAAACCAGTAAGTTAAAATAATATGTTAGTTAATTCTTCTCGAAAAAGTCTGTAATACCCTTCTGTTTATAATTTTCGCACTTCATTTCGAAAGCCCGGTCTCTAAGTCGACAGAGAAACATAACTTCGTTATCTTCATCCCATTTCAAAGCAGTGTTTAAAGCTCCTACTGATTTTGGGTTAACAAATTTTATGAAGGCGAGAACTTCAAGGCTATTGTCCTCGTCTTGCTCATCATCCTTAATCTTTTAAATTCGCTTTCGTCACAACACCAGCGCATTCTTGAGCTTCTGCCTCACTTATCTGAGGATCATTGAGTCCCCTCAACCTGTTGAAAAGCTAAAGGAACATCATCTTCTGGTTAGTCATTATCAGTGAGAAATTCAGGGTGCAAATTCTTCCATGATTTGTAAATAAGCGATGCCTCAACATTGGCCCAGCAATAAGCCAAAAGAAAAACTGTGTCCTTTAAAGTTATCGATTCTAATTAGTCCAATGAGGTTTTTAGACCATAACAGCCCCCACCTACACTTGCCTGCCTCCCCTGCGAATCCCATTGCCCGCCCGGATCACCGAACAAACGGGACTTCGGATTACCGAGGCCCTATTGTATATAACATTTTTGTCAAGTGAACTTCGTAACCCAATAGGTCTCTATGATTTTCGATTAAATCTCCATTTAGCATCGTGGACTTCCCTTATATTGTTTCTGCGAAGTCATAGTACTCGAAAATTGAGTGCTTGTTTCTTTGTTCAATCTTCTTCAAAAATGTGGAAATGATGATTTCTAGTTTTATATGCCTGTAGCCTCATGTATGCCTCGAAGCGATACTTCGAGGAAATCAATTTTCCACCTTCTGATAGTGGCAAAAAGCGACGAGAATTACTGTGAATCCAACTTTGGATCCTGTACAAGGATAAATAAATAAACCGATTTAGCACATGATTTAGTAAATTTGTCCTCTTTCACGTATTAATTTGATCGAATTACCACTGCGATTAATCACTTTCTGAAATACTCAGTAGCTATTCTACCATTGAACTTAGTGAAGTACCAAAATTTTGAAAAGTCATCAAAACAGCAGATAATACGTTTACCATTCCTTCCATATACGATGTAAATATTTACATTTCAATGGGATGGCCACGTTAGAAGCTCTATTATCGAACTTAGAGGATTAATATCTGAGTTTAAGTATCTCTCAATTATTGCCAACGTTAACAATTTTAACTTGGTGCATATGATGCGGTAATAAATAAGATAGAGATTCATCAAAAATGGTTTCAGAAACTTCTTCATAAAAAGATTATGTAACCTACAGACTTTTTGTTTGAACAAAATAACGTATTGAATATATGCCTCCTGTTTTTCAGCTGGCTAATATTCAATACGTTAGTATTGACTTATTCGTTAGTGATTATTGACTTAATTGATTATTGGCTGTTAATTCATGGGGAAAAACATAGATAGTTACTAATATATTAAACATTCTATAATATTTGGATTTGTCGTCTCTATGGCGTAGTGAAAGCGTGACGGACTCTCACTGGGAAGATCTGGGTTCGAATCCCAGGTGAAACATGGACGTTTGTGTGGGTAATATGAGTTTCAGAGGTTGAATGAATAAATGATATATTGAGTAATGTCAAAAGATGACGAACCGAAAAAAATAATAAAAGAAAAATATATCAGATATGACAGCAACTCCTGATGAATTCTGAAAAAGATTAAATCAATATGCTTCCATTGTTACCCCATATAGCACGCAGATTTCATAATGAGTTGCCATTTGGATTGAAAACTATGGTTTACCGAAAGAAATTCAAATGTTCGATAAGACTGGACAGTAGAAAACTAGCTCCACATTGTATGTTCTATAAAATTTTATATTTGATATTCGCCAACTTCTCTTGAAATGTAGCTCATGATGCTCATCCTCTAGTTAAGGAAGATGCTCATCACCCTGCTCTAGCATATTCACTAACTTTCGCATAGAAAAATCCTAATCCAAGAAAATTGGTCGATCATTCGTCAAAGGAATGACTGTGACTTGGCTTGTGAAGTAATTTATGCCAAACTCAATAACATCTTTGACACTTGTGTGTCATTTCATACTTCTAAATATTACCGTTATCCTCCTTGGTTCACACACGACGTTATATCTGACATACGATTGAAGAATCGCTGCGTGGCAAAATCAAACGAGATATAGAAGCTTCCTATACAAACTATATTCGATGCATAGAGGACAGAATTTGCGAGGATCCCAATAGCTTCTGGTCGTTTGCACAAACAAAGAAATCTAAATCTCGCATTCCTGGTATCATGAAAGACGGAACTGTTGAACTAAATAATTCTCAGAGCATTGTTGACGGATTTTCCACTTTCTTTTCAATTGTCTTCACTACCTCCAACGTACAGTTCTCTCCTGAGAAGTATGATATTCTTTACCCAAATCACAACTCCATTTCTTTTCCTGTTATATCCGAGGATGATATAATCAGAACATCAAAGAAGCTCAAAAATAAATTTAGATCTGGTGTTGATCATATTCCTAGTTTTTTAGTTAAGGACTGTATTTATTCTTCCTCTGAACCTATATCCCTAATTTTCAATGTTATTTTGAAAAATATGCTTATTCCAAAGATTTGGAAAGTTTTTTATCCAGTTTTGAAATCCAGTGATGCTGCTTTCATAACTAACTATAGATCCATAGATATTTTGTGCCATTTTGTTAAAATATTTGAAATTATTATATATGACTCTATATACCGTTCAGTTCGCACACTTGTTTCACCACACCAGCCTGGGTTTATAAAGAATCGATAAACTGTTACTAATTTGGCATGCATTACTCATTCCTTGTCAGAAACATTGAATGACCGTCTCCAGATGGATGTTATTTACACAGATATCCAGAAGGCCTTCTGGATACTGCTGTCAAAATTGAAGGCTATAGACTTTTCATTCCAGCTATTAAATTTGATGCAGTCATATATTCCAGATCGTTTTCAATATGTTGAACATGGTGGTAATGAATCTTCTTTCTATTCTACCTCGTCTTGTGTGTCACAGGGGTCCAACTTGGGTCCATTGTTGTTTATTATATATATATATATATAAACTATCTACTTCACAGCTTAACTGCATGCATCAGATTTTTGCAGATGATTTCAAAATATTTTCTGCTATTCACGATCGTCATGATTGTGTCAGATTACAGTCTTCCCTTGAAGCTGTTAATTTGTGGTGTATCAGCAATGAACTGAAACTGAATATCAGTAAATGTAAAATTTTATCCTTTTCTCGAAAATTGTTTCCAATTCATCATAGTTATACATTGAAAAGTCAAATTATAGATAGATGTGTTGAGTTTAAGGATCTGGGGATACTTTTCGACTACAAGCTGTCCTACTCTGAACATATAACTTGTATTACGGCTTCTGCTTCTAGGATGCTGGGTTATTTGGTCAGAAATTGGGGCAGCTTTGTTAATTATGGCACAATGAAAACGCTATACTGCTCGTTTATTCGCAGTAAACTGGAATATGCGTCTATAATTTGGTCTCCTGTGTAGGTACATTAATTTTATTGGCGACTTGGACGCAGTTCAGAGGAAATGTTTGACGTATATGTACTTTAGATGATATGGGCAATAACCTTCTAGAGGCTTTGACCATTCTATCCTAACCGATAGTTTGGGAATTGAATTATTGAAGTTGAGGCGTGAACGGTTCGGCCTAACATTTCTCTTCAAAATTCTGCACAATTCGATTGACTCACCATTTCATCTCAGCAAATAAATATTCGCGTACCAAGGCCTGGTCTGAGGCGGAATAATACATTTTATGTGACCAGCAGATCAAATGTTATGTCACGTTCTCCTATCAACTGTATATGTAATCTTTATGATAGGTGTTGGGTCGATGTGATATCTATTTCGATCGGCTATCAGTTATCTTGGCATGCCACTCAGAACAGCGCAATGGGATGTCGTGATATTTTCCTGAATTTCTGTTGTCTACATATGACTAAGTTATAAATATTATTTCAATTTTAGTTATTTAGTTTGTTTACTAGATAGTACTAACGCAATCGATTTCAATTTTATTTTTATTCATCAAACATATTTCGTTACTAAATGGTTAACTTCTGCTGACCTGTATAGACAATATTTCATTTTATTTTCAGTTATCTGGTTATTGTTCAAAACTATTTTAATTTAATTCAAATTGATTTTTTTGGTTGTATATATTCCTTATATTCTCTATTTTGTTTTTCTCTCGTTCATTTTTTCTTATTTATTATTATTTATGGACAATTTTGCTATTTTCTGTAAATTTCAATTTTTTTGTAATTTTTTCTCTGTAATTGGATGTATATCTCTCGGGAAATAATGTCTTATTATTATTATCATTATTAAAAACTAACTTTTATTCGGTATTTGATATTGGGTATCTCATGTCTCTCGAAATTTCTTGAAAATATACATTACATATGTGAAATTTGCATAACACAAATTCAGTTAGAAATTTTTTCAAGTCTTAGTGAGGAGAATGAACCTTTATGTATAGGTACATCTTTATTTCAAGCAGAGAAGAAAATAAAAGATTCGAGTTTTTGAATGACGATATTATTATATACACCAAGTATTCTTATCGCGAAATCCTCAAATGAATATTGTTATTACTTAGATTGAATTCTCGCTTGAATCTTGGTGAAAAATAATTGAATATTGAATTGAATTAAACTCTTGGCTTAATGTTTCACGATTTATTTACAATATGAAATGAAGAAAAAAGAAGAAATCGTAAATGAACAAGTAGATTTTCAATTATCCTCCCTACTCATATCTATTGTATAGATATAAATTTGTTGTACGTTCCTTATAGTAGTTTAGTCTTGAAAATGAGCTAACGCTCGAAACATGTTGACTATTCATATCGTTAAATAAATCAAGAAACATAAAGCCAAGAGTTTAATTTAATTTGATATTGAATATTGTTATTATTATTATAATCACTTTCATAAGTTGAAATTACAGAATGCTCATCAGTATTTCATAATTATGAAAAAATTTTCAGTAAATGAATGTACAATATAAAGTACCATGATATCAATTATATCAATATATACCATGATATCAATTTATCATTCATGTAATATACTGAAGATATCATCAAATCCATTGAAGAATGTCAAATATTCTCATATTAGGTATAATTCCAATGAAGGTTGTTCTATATCTCTCCTTTTGTTTGTCAATCTGTTTCTTATCTAGATGAAAAATTTTCGATTAATTTCTTTCGTTTATTCTTCACATTGTTTAAGTTTTTGAAGTAATACTTTTATTATTGTTGCTATATAACTTCAAGGAATATCACTGCTATGACTTACAGTAAAGCGCTGTACTCGTCGAAATAACACTTACGTACTCTATGAAATCAGTTGAGAATGCTTGAGGAGCCCTCACTTCACCCTTTTCTTTAAAATGACAATTCACGTTTATGTGAAAATTCTATGTGCACCATTATTTCGTTTTGTGAAATGAACATTAAAAAAAAATTTTATGCATTCTTTGAATTACGTCAATTGAGGTATCTATGAATTTTGCTCGTGCCTTCAATTATTCATTGCAAATCATTGTATTCAAATATATTTGGTAAACAGCAAAAAAACAAAAAATCTATTAATAAAAGGAATATTTATGTTATATAGCATTCTGAGAGTACAGTAGTGTTGTAGTAACGTGATTCCATTCAATATCTTTTCGAATTGACACGTGAAATTGTGTTGTAGATAGTGAAATTTACGGAATAACATTTTTGAAAGAAGTAAGTAAATTCTCCAGGCATCAGGTTTCAAGAATACAAATACTTTTATCATCAACAGGCATTTCAATGTATTTATGTTGATTTTGGAAAGAGTTGTTGCATATAATTTCGTCAATTTTTTTTTCACTTGTTTGAGCTCTTCAAAAGACCAGATAACCAATATTTTAACTAATAATCAATTCAAGTTGAATATTTCAAATTTGTTCGGAATATGAGTAGAAATTGAAAATTATCACCTTCAATCAAATAATGGAAGAGTTGGATATACATGACTTTTATCTTGGTAGTGTTAAAACTGCTAATTATTAGCTTCTTGAAAAAAAAGAACCGATTGTTAATGAACAGATGAAATTTCAACCATCTTTCCTTCCCAAGACTGTCTCAATAATAATAATAGTTTTAAGTTCTTTATTCCCACGAGTATAGTACCTTATCACAGAAAGTTATAACCTAGTATTGAATAATAACTGAATGACTGAATAAACGAAATGAAAAGAATATAAGGAAGAACTCAATCTAATCTAAAAAAAAAAGTACTGATAACTGTATAATGAAATTGATATTCAAATATTACTAGGACCCAATTTATTCCAATTCAATATCGTCAATTTTTCTTGTTCACATAACACCTAATAATAACTGCTATGGAGTCCAAAGTGAATGTCACATTTATTAGCAACGGTATTGAATGTAGTCTTCATAAACCAAATGCTTGATTGTATTAGCGAGTTGGTCCTTGAAGTCTCT